CATAACATCAGGGAATCAGATGGTTGGAGAAATACGTCAGCCCAGTGACATAAATGTTTCTAATTCAGGTACTAAATGATTTTGTTCTCTACTGAGGTTTTGCAGATTTTTCCTCCTGATTTGTCTAATCTTTTTAGATTGTAACATGGCTATTTTAATTGCAGTGCACTGTGATTGCCTGTTGAGGTTATCAAATCACAATTCCCAGGGCAAACATTAGAAAAGCATCATTAAGTTCAGTTCACTTCCTGTCCATTGTATTTCCCGGATTTCATATTTAAGCTTCTGTAGTTTTTAGCAATGACTATTTTGCAGATTGTACCATAAAAATAAATTGGCTGCCTCACTTTTTGGTAACATTCATTTTTGTAAACTAGTAACAGATAGGAAATTGAAAATAGTTGTAGTAGAAGAAAAAAAATGTAACAAATGGCACTGCTATTTGAAGGAAATGCTTACCAGAACAGTAAGTGAATAGACTCCCTTTCCATATAAGGTGTTGATTAGACACAGCACCTGACTTCTTAGCCCCTTGTGTGAAAATTCTTTGGCCAGGGATCTGGTGAGGGTGGGGTACCTGCTGCGTGGTCCACCATAGTTGATTGGATTGGGAAGGGCATCTGGTCACACTCTGCTCAGCTGACTCTTAGAGGGCTCAGAACAAAATCTCTTCCCAAACCTGGAGAACCTGGACCAGACTGACAGTCTCTCTTAGAAATCTAAGCAGGGGCCTGTATAACAAAGAGGTAATTAGTGGCAGTTGTACAGATAAAAGTCCATGAAGGACAGAGACGTCATGATGAACCCTGATTAAGGATGTTTTGGGTTAAAGAAGCTAGAAGGAAGCCAACTGGTAGAAGTAGTGTGAAAGAGGCACAGAGAGGAACAGTCTGAGGCAGAGTGGCTGGGTCCCATGGGTGATTACAGGGAAAATGGAAATCCCATGACCAGGATCCTCACCTGACCCTGTTCTGCTTGCCCATTGCGCACATGCAATGCTTGCGCACGTGTGGGCAGTGAGCTCGTATTTACTCTACATAAAGAGCTCTCCCCAGTGCTCTGGGGCTCCAAGGAGGCGGAGACTGGCTTGCTGAATGCAGACCTGCCCTGATGTGGACGGGATTCCTTGACCTGCCATCACAAGAATAAAGCTGGATATACACCCTTTTACCCTCAATGTTACTTTGTCATATTTTGATTTCATTGAATCTGGAGTGAAGTTGCCTGAGGCTGAAACCCTCAGGTGAGACAATAATCACGTACTCTGAAGAAAGTGGAGAAACTGTGCCCTGTGTAAAATCAGGCAGACTTACACTTAGAACAGAGTTGTGTTTTTCCTTCTGAGCATTTGTGACGTCTGTCTGACATTAATGATTCTTACTTGCTCATTCCTATGTGTATCTTGACAAAAAACTCCGTGTTCTCTGAAGTAACTTGAGGGGGGGATTTTTCAACTAGTCAGCATGTCTCACACTCTTTTCAAATAGTATTTTTTCTCACTTCAAATTCATTCTATTCCTTAGCTTGATGAAATCAGGCAAATTTCCCTCTGAATGACCAGTTGGTAGAGGAATCAAAATACAACATTTATCAGTTAAGTTCATGGTCTCATATGGACATGGTGGTACCCCGATTACAATAGTAACATCAAAGATCTTAGGGTCACAGATCACCATAACAAATATAATAATAATGAAAAAGTTTGAAATACCATGGGAATTACCAAATGTGACACAGAGACACAAAGTGAACAATGCCATTGGAAAAATGGTACCAACAGACTTTTTAAATGTGAAGTTGCCACAAATCTTCACTGTGTAAAAATATCTGTGAATGTCTGTGAGGCACAATAAAGCGAAGCACAATAAAATTAGACATGTCTATAACTAACATTTTATTTTTTCCTACTAATTGAGAAAAACCCACCATCTTGTACTTAGAAATTAAACACCTAGAGATATATCCCATTTTCAGGGTATCAGAGACAAATTGTTAAATGTGTACATGCTGAGCAAATTAGTTTTGATTTTTATCATTGTCATATTTTTCATTTCCCTTTTTCATGTCTTTTAAAGAAATTCTTGACTTGCTTGTCTACATTGACTTAATTCCCATCTTTTGGATATTCTTAATATCCCACTGTGAACCTGGGTCTTAGGATGCAGAACTTTAATAGTATAGCCTAGAGATGGTGATATTGAACATTCTTTTTCATTTTTTTTCCCTTTAAAGCCGATTTCCAAATTTGGTATTCTTACCACTTTTGACAATGGCTCTACATGAATCTACTTTTCACTAGGTTCTATGGTGGCTGAAACATTAGCATCGGGATGGAAACATTGCCTCAGGGGACATCTATCATGTGCAGTCTCTAAAGTGGCATGACTGGGTAGGCATGTTAAATTACCCACATGTTAATTAAGCTAGTTTGTGACAAAACCAGTGGCCCAACAAAATAAATATGACTTTTATAAAGAGGACAGGCTAATTCCACACCAATGCCTTATTTGTATATTAATGTTAAAGTAATTCCATCCCCAGACTTCTCACGTGTAATGATGTCTTAGGTACAACGTACACATGGTAGACCCTCACTAACAAACCTGTTGAGAGGATAAACGAGTATGCAACACTGGTCTCTAAACCTGGTTTAAAGGTGTTTTTGGTACATGGCCAAATAAACCATATGGACCTTAAATCAATTGGCCCTTCTTAGATCCATTTTTCATATAAAAGGAGAAAAGTAGAGATTGGAGGCACAAGGCTTGAATTCCGTTGTTGGCTCTAATGCTAGGCCAGGTGACTTTGGGTAATTTCTCTATTTTCTGGCTTTTCATCACCACTTCTTCTAAATGAGGAGCCTGAATTAGATGCTGTCAAAGCTCCTCTCTCAAATTTATTGAGTATGCTTCTTTTTGTTCATTTCATTCAATAGTTTAGATCTATCACTTAGGCTATATAAATGGACTCTTAAAGAAAATTTGGCTAAATAAATAGAACTCATCCAAAAATTTTATCCTTTACATATTAGGGCTGTGGAGTTCTTTCTTAGGTGTTTTCCAGTTCCTGTAGGAATGATAATGACTAATGGCTAACCATAACCATCTTATCGGAGCTGGAAAGAATTATCTATGGCATGCTTCTGAGTTTGAATTTTTATGAAATGTGTGTGCTGGTCATAGGGTCCATTTTGCTCAAAATTTTGGTAGTCATAGGTTGGATCCAGGTTGAAGTGCATATTTCTAAACTAATAGACAATTTTAACCTCAAGCAATATTTTACCTTCCCTTATTTGGCTTGTATTCAACCAAACAGGAAACTTATTGAGAAAACTATTCAGAGCTCAAACAAACCTATTTCTGAACTAGATAAGAAGAAAACAAATTGAAGTGATTTTCTAAGTCTGTTAATATTTTTGACAAGGACCATAACAATTAGGTCATTTTCTTTAAAGACAAAGATCTTTAGATGTTATTGTATGATACTACTTGCTACTGAGGAAGCATATTTATTTTTGAGACCATGATTAATCAACAATTGGGTAAAACATTCATGCAAGATCTCAACCAGCTCTCTTTGGCCCACATTTGATTTTAGTTGCAGCCATGACGAAGAGTTACAAATCATCTCCTACTGCTAGTGGAATTGAAGCTAATTGTCTGCAGTACCCTTGATACCACACCCTTAACTGGACTTTTACTTCTTCCCTAACTCTTTCTGCTTCCTGGGATCACTTTCTGCATAAACAACCTGTGCCCAAGTTCTTGTTTCGACTCTGCACTTGCGACTACCCCAGCTAAGAAAAGATCTCTGAATAATGGCATATTATTTCCTTTTAATGTATGAAATAAATATAGGGCAGGAAGTACAAACTGTGCTGTTCTCTAGAAGCCAAAATAAACACCCTTTTAAGATCTCATAATCTTAATTATAAAATAAAAACTTAAATGACCTTGGTCCACTTTCAACAAAAACCTAGCTTTTAAAAAAGAGATCTTCTCTGCACCATGAATTCTATATCTTTTTGAGCTTTAAAATTTTAACCCTTCAAGGAAATTGAACTCAAATAGTGGGAGAACTTGTTTTCAGGAAGACTATGGGCTACTAAAAAGAACAACCCAATATCTCGCAGCAGCTAGAAACTGTGCAGATGCCTATGGTGAGAAATGCCACAGTAGGAATCATTCGTGTTTATATCTGACTCTTAGCTCATATCTTAGAAACACCTGAGATCATTAACAATTCAATTTTTCTCATAAGATGCCCATATAAAAGTTAAAGCTGTCATTTATTTGAAATTCATCTAAAGAATTTAAGAGAATGTGGGAATTTTGAGTTTTAAAGTTCTTCACACATGAAGCTGTACCTTGGTTAATCAAAGCCTTGACTGGACTCCCTAGCATTCAGATAATCATAGACCTAGAAGAGACTTCCTGCAGAGGTCATTGACTCTAAGACGTTTATCATATCCTCGAGGTCAAAGAGGTCAAAGGGTCAGACGGTGACAACAGACTAGATCTTTGTTTCTTGCCTCAGCCTTCTGAGGTCACATCAAATCCTGAGGCTCCGATTTCCCATAATGTATTGGTTCAGGTGGACATACTGGTGTTAAATATCAAAAGGGATCAACAGAGCTAAGATTGGTGTGCATATCATTGAGGGGAAATAAGAGAAGCATTTGTTTTTGCAAGTTATCTGCAAAAGTAATCAAGAGTTAACAAAGTTTTATCTTATTGAATGTTTATAGGAACAAATATCTGAAGGCTATAAAATGAAAATAAGCTTAGTAATATTAATATTCTAGTTTAGAAGAAATTTTAAAATCAGTTTTTTCCCCCCAAAATATCATCATTAGTGTTGTGGATTAAAATTAAATGTTAAATTATAAAACCTTATGACCTGGAAGGTTATGGAAAACTCCTGTTAGTAGAAACAGCTGTGGACTCACAAGATTGCATTTATTTCTGAATATACTTTATTTACAATTATTCATTCTTTCTTAAAATCTTTTAGAACAGCTTTGATTAAAATCATTACATAAAATAATCTTCACTATATTTGTTACATGTGGCACATAATAGTTTAGCACTTTATAAATATGTTTCATTGATGCACAAATGGGAGAAGCACCCTTTGCCCAAAAGCTGTACAGTAACTTAGTTCAATTTGGCTACAGTAGCACTTTAAAAAGTGACCATGAGATGGCGCTGTGGCCAAGTAGATTAAGTATGTTCAGTTTTCCCTAATTATGGCATTTAATTCCTTTTTCTTTAAATATAGAATAATTTACCATTCAACTTACAGTAGAGCAACATCAGTCACTCTATTTTAGTAGTATTGACTAGATGTTAGTCCTTTAATCACAGATCCATAAATCATTCAAAGATTGTGTTTCCCTGGGGTGAAGGGTATATTTAAAAAGCATTAGTAATCATAAAGTCTCTAGACTAAACAAAGGGCCCAAAGTTAACCATTTTATTTAAGATCATTCAATTACATATAAAGACCATTTTTTTCACCATCCTTTTAAATCGTGTTGGTCTTCCCACAAAATTATGTCAACTTCCAGTTTATTTAAAGAGCTGAACTTCTGTTACATTTAATCTGCTTTAACAGCAATAGAAGGTCATAGAAACATTAGAACATGAATTCACATTTAAATCAACATGATACAAACATGCACACGTGTGTATACTGAGCGTTTTCATTAATGACTTGCTTTTTCTTCATATAAATATATAAATATCAAATAAAGTGCATTGGAACATGTCTGTACATGTATACAGATATATGTTTGTCTATACACACTTGAATAGATACTTATGGAGAGAAAAATCATACACATCTGTAATATATGTGTAGTCATAGTCAAAAGACATCTGTCAGGCAGCATTTATGTTCACTCTGGTCAGGATTGAGTATATGGGGATAAAATATGTAATCTTTAATATATAATGAGATGTGCAGTTACACACTGAGACAAAGTACATTAGAGCAGAGACTTTTAAACACTGAACTTTTATCAGTTAGGAGGGTGTAATCGTGTAAAGTAGTTCAGCTCAAACACAGTCTTGATAGTAGTGGCTTACTAAAAATTCTAGCTTTGACATAAACGGTTTTCAATGTATCTATAAGAACATAATTAGGATAGCCCTAATACTTTTCCACATTACAGGATGGCACCTCTCACACTCTTTAGTTTTCAAATTTATAATTTTTTCAATGGCTTAGAGCAAAAAACGATTTCACATTCAGTAGAAAGTCTTCAGTACTGGAATCACATTTCTAATATCTATTCCAATAAGAATGTCATATTATATTCCTTGAGTCATAGAATATCAAGGTGAATTAACTGCTCTTAAATCTTTTTCTTTCTTTAGGAGACTTTTCTACAAAATATTATATTACTGCTTTTCTTTTTCTTGGGGAGTCCAGGGTCAGTGACTAATTAATGAGTAGTTTCTAGGGAAGTGAAACAAAAATTTTGCTCAAAATTTTGGTAGTCATAGGTTGGATCCAGGTTGAAGCGCATATTTCTAAACTAATAGCCAATTTTAACCTCAAGCAATATTTTACCCTCCCTTATTTGGCTTGTATTCAACCAAACAGGAAATTTATTGAGAAAACTATTCAGAGCTCAAACAAACCTATTTCTGAACTAGATAAGAAGAAAACAAATTGAAGTGATTCTCTAGTCTGTTAATATTTTTGACAAGGACCATAACAATTAGGTCATTTTCTTTAAAGACAAAGATCTTGTTTTAATTATTTTTGTGCCTTAGTAAGTAGGAAATTTCTTCATAGGTAGTGTACACTCAATAGATGATTGTAAGACCAAAGCGGAGCAGTTTTAATAAATCATATAGGCTGACCTGACAGCATCCATTTACTGATGGGTGCCAGTAGGAAAGTCATTTGCATTTTGCTGACATACCCGAACACTCTGTGGCTGTCAGTAGCCAAAAACCTGAGTTATTTCTCAGCCCTGATACAGTGACATCAATACTGCTTACTGCTCAAAGGAGCACATGCGTGATGTGGTTGTTAAAGAGCAAGTTACCAAACACCACTATGGTGCTGTTTAGGAGAAGAAATTCCTAGAAATGCACTTGGTAATATTAAATTATCTTTTTGTTAGTTTACCTAGTAGAACAAACACTAAACATGACCACATTGGAAAGTCAGAATAAAGCACATGTAGTAGAAGAAAAAGCAGCAATAATTATTAAATAACACTTAAAATCTTTTTCGTTTCTGAGAATGAGCTTGAAATGCAGCAAATGCCAGCAACTTTGAATATTTAAAAATGGCATCTATGAAAAAGCAGGAATGAAAAAGTTGTCAAGTATATTTCATTTAATTATCGTAGCAACACAGATTTCATAACACTGTTCTTAGTGTCTTTTGCTGTTGTTATTCAGAATATGTGTCATGGAAAGTTTTAAAGAGAATTTTTCTTCAAGAAGCCTTTATAGTCAACCAATTTTTCACTATTTATAGCTATTTTTATTTACAGCAATAGGTAACCAATTCATGCCATCAATTAACAACTTAGCAAGGTTTCCCCTTGAAAATAGAAGTTAATTTAGATTTATTTATGGAATCGTAATTATATAATAAAAGAGAATAATTTTAAAGACATATCATTTACAGTATTAAAAATAAGTATCATAAAGCTCACAGCTGAAATGCTGTCAGAACATTTTTGAAGTGCACGTTTTGTGGCACTTAACCCTGCTTTTCACTAACAGAATAAAATGAGGCATATACATATTATTGGTTCCGTTAGACTGGCCTAATATTTTAGCCTCCTTATATCTTTTCTTCTCTCTCTTTTGGTCCAGAGAGGTGAAAACTCGCCCAGCGTGCCCCCCAGGGTTGGCCGTGGCAGCCAGTCCATCACACACAGCTAACCTTTTCATTCGCTGTGCTGATGCTGTCTGTAGGCACGTCTCCTGAATGCCGTTTTCCTAGAGCAGCCACGGTGCAGTCGCTATCTGTCATCTGAGCTTCTCTTTTTGAGCTCTTTTTCTGTCCCATTTGGAGCTCGCTAGACTTGTAGGCTAAGGCCGGTATAGTGTTCACTAAAATCAACTGCAGTGGTTTTTTATTTTCCTTGTACTGACACTGAATATACCGCGAAAAGGCTGACCTGTAGGTCTTATTGAAGAGTGTGTACACCAGTGGGTTGACTGCTGAGGAGAGGTAACCAATCCACACGAACACGTTGAGCAGAGCTCCGATGACATGCTCATTGCAGGACTCCTTGCAGATGACGGCCATTATGTTCGTGATGAAGAAGGGGCACCACATGACCACAAACAGAAAGAAGACAATACCCAGCACCTTGCACGCCTTCTGCTCATTGCTGATGGACTGCATAGTCCTCCTGCCGTGGGACGCTGGCTCCCTGTGAACTGACCGCTGGAAGAGCTTTTCTGAAGACAGGGAACTCTGAGGGAGGAAGCTGAAAGAAGCTAACTTGGCCCGTGTGCCAAGATCACTCACACACAAAGTAGCTTCTTTCTGAAGTGACTTGATAGTTAGAAAATAGGTGATCACCATGATGGTTAAGGGAATGAAAAATGACACAAAAGAGCCTATTAAGACAAAGTTATCATCTGCGAGTAAGCAACTTCCTTCCTTAAAGACCTTGGAGTCATCCTGTAGCCCAAAGACTGGTATCGGCATGGATATACCTGGAGTTGGACAGAAAATGAAAAATGATTATTGAAGAATTGAGCAAGAGCATTGTAACATAATGGTGGCTGCAAAGAATTTTATGTAACATTGCTTAAAAGTTTAACATATACTTTCAATGAGAATTAAAAATTCTCTTGGATTTATTTACTTACATATATAGTATAATGCATGTTCTATGTAATACAAGGTATAGCTATAATATACAGTAGTTTTATAATAGCTTATATAATAGTTTTAATATATATTATATATGCTAATATGTTATATTACCACATATAATATATAGTTAACCATATAGTAAACATAGTATATAGTTCCTTATACTTGTATATTATATTGCTTTATACAGATAATCTATTATTTATAAAGGAGTACAATAAATCTAGCTTTAATTTTTCATGCTACATTTTTCTGGTCATACCATTATACTTACTAACTGAAGAAAATACAGAGACAAAGAAACAAAAATAAAAAATGACTAATGATGCCACCACCCAGACATAATCACCATTAACAATACAATGAAGAAACATACATATACCATGCACACACATTTTGAAAATAGAATTGGGGTTCCATTTCATATACAGTTCTGCTATCTTTATCTCCTAACATTATGTCATGAACATGGTAATAAAGATAACTTTATAAAATTATAAACAATATATTTTCTTTTTAGAAATTTTGAAAAATACCACAAAGTAACAATGAAGAAAAATAAAACATATTGTCTCTAGCCAGGTGCAACCATAATTTACATTTTCTGTAGTTTATTTTGCATATACATGCATATGTAAATATATATATATGCAGTATTTTATGTAGAGTTTTAGATCTTCCTTCCTATTCAGTTTAACATTAAGCCATGATAGTTACACATATTTTCAAGAATTTTTGAAAAATACAATTTGCTAATGGAAATTTAAATTAATTTAACCAATTTTTATTCTTTTTAAAAAAGCTTTTCATTCTAGAAAAATTATAATATTTATACAAAAAACCTGGCACAATGAACCCATTACCCAGCTTCAACAGTGATCAATTTAAGGATGATCTTGTTTGATCCATACCCCCACCTGTGGCAACCCCTCCATGTTATTCTGAAACATATCCCAGACATTATATATATTCAATTAGTAAATATGTTGTTATGTACATATAAAAGTTACACACTTAATAAAAAACAACTAATGTCACAGTACCACACCCAATCCTGAATGGAAATTTAATATATCCTTAATATCATTAAATATAGAGTTGGCATTCAAATTCCCAATTGTCACATAAAGGTCATTATGTTTTTAGTACTAGAGCATATGTAAGGGTGGATTACAAAATAATAAGCAGCCACAGACTTTTCATTTAACGGCACATACAAGAGTTAGGTATAAGATAGGACAATACAGGAGAACAGGATCCCATGGCCAATGGCTCTGTCACTGAAATCTGGGGGACCTGTCAAGCTCCTGCAGGCCCAGAGCTTAGGCAGAGGAGGAGTAAAGGCAGACTTGGCCCTGTCGTGCTGATTTCTCCCCCGTGATGTAGGACCTGTTTAAGGGGATTCAGCTGCCACCACCACTGCTGTGCAGTTTTGGGGAGTGGGAGCATCTGCCTCTACTGGCCTGAGACAGGCCAAGGCAATCCTGCCATTGCCATGAAGGAGCACTTGGGGTGATGGAGAAGAGGACGCATGGGCCACATACTTGCATAACTCAGTTTCAGGTTGCTTCTTTTGTGAAAGAGTAGATACCACAGGGGCATCTGGGAGAAAGTTAGAGCAAAGTTTCTTTTTAACTTTGCCCATGTTTTAAGCTCCCTCAGAGCTGTATACCAGGGGTGTCCTGTTCACTGCCTCTGGCTGCCCTTCAGAGCCTAGTAAGAAGTTGCAGTCCAGCCAAGAGCACAAGTTCATTCCCGAGCTGGGGGCTGCTGCTTGCTTGACTCTTGCTGTCTATCTGGAAAAAACTTCCTCTGAGGGTCTAACTAACTTGTGCATACTCAGAACAGAGTTCAGCTCCATTCAGCCGTGGACCTGACTGTCCTGACCTCGCATCGCCTCACACTGTCTATCTCTGCAAGGAGGAGACATCAGCTTGAGTTAATGTAATGCTTAGCAAATCTTTCTTGGGACATTTGCCATAATCTTCATAGTCTTCATATTTGTCACTTTTCTGTGAAAGACCGTCCCAGAATTCTTGGAAGGTGGAGGTAAGTGACATCAGAGTTTTTCTTCAGGACACTTAGTGTGGCTAATGACTCTACATTTCCTTCATTCCTCTCTGTCCTTGGCCCATTGTTGGGAACATTCTGTCTGAGATTCTGCATACACACCAGTTTTGTTTAGCCTTCAGAAAACTCTTGATTGTAAAAGTTAAGATACAGTTTCTAACAGGAGTGTTTTGTTTTCCAAATGTTTGAACATTTATCTGTGAAAGATGTTTCCTATACTCCTCTACAACGTCTGTGTTTGACAGTGTAGTTGCTCATTGATTAGGATTGATGCTTTGGAATGAGACAGACTTGGGTTTGAATCTTGGTCCTGGCTCTGTGCTCCTGGGCTGGTTACATCATTCCTGTAGACCTCAGTTCCTCATCGATCATATGAAGCTGGTACCAACATGCCTCCTTGAATGTGGGGAGAATAAAATGAGTCAAATATGCAGAGCACCAAGGACAGAGCTTAGTCCAGAGTGGATGTTCTATCAATTGCAGGTAAACAAGAAAATAGCTTTCTCCACAGAATTATCCATATTGAATACATTAACTTGATTTTGTTCTTTTGTTTTGTTTTGTATGCTAGGCTTTGATATATAATAGAGCTTCTTAAACCAAAGGAAGTTAAAAAGAGTTCTGGCTTTTGGCTATCTAATTAATAATGGTGTAATTATTAGCTTCTGCCAGGGTGACAAAGGTTCTCAATCAATTTTAAATTTGCACAGAAAGAACTGTTGATTGCTTTTCTAATGTGATGAATTATAGCCATTACAATTAGACATGATACATATAAACAAAATATCAACTGTCCAAAGAAGGTGTATTATTTTGTTATTAAGCTCTTGAGTGTGCATTTTCCTGATTAATACAAAGGAAGTCACTACCTTGAGAGTCCTTTGTCCTATTTGTTTGCAACCTACCTGGTGATTTATGTAAGTGGTAATTCTCAGTTAACCAGAATATGGTATTGCCTAAAACACCAAATTCCTCAATCATTTGGAATTCAGTTGAATGTCCTTGTTTTGGGGGAACATACACACACACATATACACCCTCCCCGCCAAGAATGGCTCAACTTCTGTGGCCAGAGAGGAAAAGGGATGATAGAGCCACCTTATGCAAGTAGAGATTCCCCCTTTTTGACTGCCTGGGATGAAGAGCCATGTTACAGATTTGCAAGAGGGCACCGGAAGGCTGTCTGGGAGGGAGACATGGACTTGGAGGAGGAGAATCAACTTGATTAGGCCTTTAAATGGTCCATTCCTCTTTACGTATAATGAACACATCCTGAATGTTACGTACCATTCTTTTTCAATGCCTCACTTCTTCTAGCAAGGGGTCTGCAAGGGTTTGTGGATTGAATAACCAGACAGTTAAAGCAATACTCTTTAAAGAGGGAAAGGAACTTTATGTCAAAGAACTAGAACACTTAGGCTTTGTGGGTACAATCAGAATTTCAAAAACAGGCTCCTACCAAGAAAGATGAAGACTGGCTGATATCCAAGGCTGTGGTCACAGCCATCTCTGGTGCATTAATTTTCTGGCTGCTTTGTTAGATAATAGCTGCTTTTGGAGACTTGACATCTCCTCTCACTTGATATTTCTTCATATAAAGCATTTTCCTTTATGAACAAACAGACAGTATCTAATACTATGTGACTCTGCATTTTGTTTAATATATTTTTTCTGAGGAGAGGAAAACAGCAATCAGCAGTCAAAATTCAGTATTGGATCCTCTATGCCCATTTTTATTTCATTTAATTAAAATTCAGGCAATGAAATGAAGGGGAAACATTGACACCCAGGAATATAAAGGCTTTGGCAGGTGTCCTTCTTTTAGAGTAGCCCTGTTTCCTCCTTGCCCCTTTGCTTAGCGGCATACCATTGCTGGGTTAACAGTCTTAAGTCTGACGCATTGACTGTGAAAGATGATCTTTATTCTTAATCCTAGAATTTTACACTTTAATATCTTGTGAAGACTGCACTCCTGAGACAACCTTTCCTTGGGAAAGCAGCAGCTTGTCTTACTAGGCAGCCATCCTTGGGTAGGGAACATGATGGCGGGGGGTGTCTCCTGGGCCTCAGGTCTTGTGGGAGGTACGGTGGGGGGGCGGGATGCTTTAGGGCTCTTGTGAAAAAGACTGAATTTTGGATCCTAGGTTTCATTTACTCTAGAACTACTACCTTTCTTTTGCATTTTAACTCAAGCTGAATGTTTTCAAGTTGCACGAATGGATTTACTAGCAGTTTGACAGCACTGTGAGTGAACTCTGCAGGGAGGTCATCATGCTGTGGAGAGAGAGGACTGAGTTTAAGGGCAACTGGGACTTCCATCCTCCTAACAGGGTATAAAGCTCAGCAGTTGCTAAATTCCTTATAATCTTGTCTGCTGCCAAGGCAGATGTGTGTAAAGGAGAGAACTAGGTAAGTGTGTCAGTTACCCAGGAAACTGAGTATTTCTTCTTAGATTATGCTACAATTCTCAAATAATAAAATTGTAACTTTTCAAAGTATTTTAACATATTCACTCTCAATTGCTTTTTTTTTTTTTTTTTACAAAATTGTTCAAAGTATTGCCCATACTACCGTATGGAAAGATGAATATTTCACTTGGTAAGAAAATGAGGCCTACCAGTCTTAAGTGATTTATTTAGGATCACACAGCAATTTAGGGAAAAATCAAGACCCTTACTCTCAATTCTTATGATCAATTTTTTTAACTTGCTTATTTGTTCCTGTTATGGTAGTTATAAAAGTTTATGACTGTATCAGAGGTTATATT